ACACACACACACACACACACACACACAAGATCCTGCTACATTTCTCTTTCAGGCTTGGGCTCAACTTTTACCCCTCATTCAACTTTACATTTCCCAAGAAGAAATGACCCTAAATATTGAACTGCCTGATTGGTGCGGTGACTATACCTTACACACCCCTATGAATATGTCCATTAACTAGACCAAATGCCTTAAGTGCACCAAAGCCAAAAGGCCCAGAAAAGATGAAAAGAGCAGATCAGTGGAAGGAAAGGAAAATGTTTAGCTACTTACAGGGTTAAGAAAATAGGAAGAGGCTACTTTGAGCTTCCCAAACCTGAGGGGGAAAGCCTTCCTTCTACAAAATGGCCAGTGAGGTGACCCAGCAAATCACCTGCCACAGGGAAAACACTGAGAGGCTTGCAGGAGTTAAAGGTACAGAGACAAGCACTGCTATGCACAAAATTCTGCCATAGTTGCGATCTATAAGTAGATGGCTGGATAAACATGCAGCTGAACACGTAGAAGAGAGACACTGGGAGTGTACCCACAGATATGTATAGGTTTTTATAAGTATCTTTTTGCTGCAAATATGCCCATGAATGTGGTCAAGAATACTGGGGGCAAAGTTATGAAAACTTTTTAGACATAATCAAACAACTTTTTTTGACGGGTCATAGGGCCTGAAGGATGCAGACCATAGTTTTAGGTGCCACGAAAGCCAACTGGGGCAACATAGTTCCTCCAAATCATGTTCTTTATCCTACTTTGGTCAGTAGTGACTAACGTCTTAAAAGCTTGGGAGCAATACAGGGAATCCAGGGCAGATGATCCCTTGAGGGAGGGTGGGTTGGAAAGGCGGAACCGATTACAAGGATCTACATATAACCTCCTCCCAGGGGGACGGACAATAGAAAAGTGGGTTAAGAGAGATGTTGGACAGTGCAAGATATCACAAAATAATAATTTATAAATTATCAAGGGTTCATGAGGGAGGGGGGAGCGGGGAGGGAGGGGAAAATGAGGACCTGATGCCAGGGGCTTAAATGGAGAGCAAATGTTTAGAGAATGATGAGGGCAATGAATATACAAATGTGCTTTACACAATTGATGTATGCATGGATTGTGAAAGAGTTGTATGAGGCCCTAATAAAATGTTTTTTTTAAGTGGACAGTAAAAATCTGAAGAAGAAGAAAAAAAAACTGGGAGCAGTCAACTAAGGTGCAGCAACTATGAGTCTCTCCCTGTCTAAGGTTTTGGATGGCCTGGATGGGGTCGAGGTGGTGGTGGTGGGGTGATGGCGGTTGGGATAAGGGGTGTGCAACAGGATTGAAAACCATAAAGAGACAAAGCTTATTAGAACCACCCCTCGGGTTTGGAACTGAATGCATCTCCGTATTAGAATAATCAACGATTTCAGATCAAGGTAGGCGAGAAGGAGGAATGTACATAGGAACCCCAGAGGGTGCAGAGTATGTAATGGTGCACTGAGAGGATGGCAGTGGAGGGGTTGAATCAGATGTGTGTGTTTTACATTTTGATGAATGTAAAACTATGATCTGCTCTGTAAATTTTCACATAATCCACCATAAAAAGTTAGAAAAAGTTAAAAGCACTTGCTACAACTGTTGCCACGCTTTGTTTTAAGAGCCTGAAGTCTACAGAGGGAGCAAATGAGCCGGGAAAGAATAATGCCAAATGCTTTACTTTGAATGGTAGCAGCCAACTTCAACAT